CATGAAATATTATACAAAATGGGTGACCCTGGAGGACATTATGCTGAGTGAAATATCTCAGTCACAAAAGGACAAATATTGCATAGGGCCACTGTTGTAAAATGGGACTGACATCAGGGTTAAGGGAAGACAGAGAAGGAGGGGGAATGAGGTATACTGCACTGAAACAGATAAGAGAGAGAACTGTTTAAAAGGGATATATGATTAGATATTATTGTCATGACAGGAGTCCAGAAAGAAGGCTGCACAGTGCAGTGGCCTTGGAGGGAGGGATTGCATAACAATGAAAGTTTTTCTTTCACTTTTCAAGGAGAAGAGTGAAGTGGAGGGGAGAGAGTGGGCAGGGAGAAAAGTGCAACAATGAATGAATGGAAACCCTAAGTCTTTGTAAACTTTCATTAAAAGGAAAAAAAATCTCATATACTCAAGGTTTGAGGGTTTTTTTGGTTGTGTTTTAATTTTTTACACTTTGCCTTCCTTCTTTTCAGAACTGAGAATTTACAATTGGTTTGTAAAGTTAGTAATGTTTCATCACATAGTACAGAATATTACTTACATTTTATTCATTTAAGTCTCAGAACTTGATTTAGGGTTCCTTGTTTTGAAACACTGCCAATATGGTATTAGTAGTTGTACATTTTTTTTTATTTTATTATTTTTTGTGCATATACCGTCAAATCAGATCTGACTGGTACAGGAGGAAATTGTCCCTCCTTCTCTGGCAGAGCATCTGTTGGATTTGAACTGTGTACCTTTGTGATTGCAATACAGCTTCTTGCCACTAGGCCACCAAGGTCCCCTAGTTGTACATTTTTATGCATTTTTTTAACCAATTAGTCCTAGATGTTTTTAGAGGAAGTTAATGTCAATCAATTACTAAAAATGAAAATTTATCAAATACTGCTGAGAATGTAGAGAAAAATCAATCTATTACATACTACTCTGAAGACAGATACCACCCAGTAAAACAGTCTGGAAGTTTCTTTAAAAATTAAATATGCAAAATAAAGCTTAAGAAGAAAAAAAAAATTAAATATGCAGGGGGAGGGAACCGTACAATAATGAAAAAACTTTTTTTCCAAAGGAAAAAAGCAAAGTAAGGGATGGCAGGCAGGAAAATGTACAACAATGAATGAATAGAAATCCAAGTTCTTTATAAACTTTCATTAAAATCTCAATTAAAAAAAGAAAAAATTAAATATGCATTTATCATACAAAAGCAACTGCACTCTTAGGTATTTTTGCCAAATAAATGAAATTTTGTGTTCACTCAAAAACCTATGCACAAATAATAGCTCAATTTACAATAGAAAAATATTGACAGTTCAATTTATAAAATACTGGAAACAACCCAAATGTCCAATGGAGACTGGCTGACCAACTCTGTTACATTCAAATTAAATAAAACAAACACATCACTATCTTCTAATCAACTCCCACTCATGGAAATTATGTATTTGCATGAAATAAAAATCAAAGAGCACCTGTATTCTCCACTCAGATTCCTCCAGTGGTGACATCTTAGCTGTATGGTATACAATAATAAGACGAAGAAATTGACCTTGTTACATTATTATTATTACTATTACTATATTCTTTTTTTAATTTTTTTAAATATTTTCTTATTTTGTACTGCCAAGTTGGATCCGAAGAGCACAGGAGAAGATTGCCCCTTCTTCTTCAGTGGAGCATCTGGTGGATTTAAACCAAGCACCTTCAGGATTTCAGTACATCTTCCTGTCACTAGGCCACCAAAGCTCACCATTAACTATTATTAGGTCCCCATTATTATTAACTAGACTCCAAGCATTATCCAAGGAGCTCTGGAGGCCTAGTGGCAAGAACCTACACTGCAATACCAAAGGCATGGGGTTGAGGCCACCCCTCCCATGTGACTGCTGCCTCTGAAAACCAACTGGAGTGTCAGCTATGGGTTGTTTTCAACTCTGTGGTACACAACAACAAACAAACTTTATCCAGTTTTCATCCATAATTTGACCTAAACTCATTTTCATATAGTACTATGTAATTTTTCTTCCACACACAGATTTGTATAATCACTTCAATCAATACAGAATTGTTTCATTTCCAGAAAAGAAGTTCCATCATTACCTTTCTATTCATATTTGTCTATTTACCCATAATCCTTCCACTTCTCCCTCTTACCTTGTTCCCTGATAAGAACTGTGTTCTATGTTGTTGAGACTGACTCCTTTTTTTTTTTTAAATTTCTTTATTTATTGTAAAAAAACATGTATGGAGATTCAAAGACAAAGGTAAAGGCCATACTGTTCTTGAGCAGTCCTTGGTTTTACAACAGTGAAGAAATAGGATCATAGTTCTATATAACTATTATGCATTTTAACACATTGCCTTGCAAAACAATGCCTTAGGTAATGACCAATATGGTAATGTCAGCCTCACACTAGCTGCTGTATCGTTAACTAAGAAAACTCCTTTATGTACGTTTCTTCCTTTTTTTTAAAGAAACATGTAGTATTTACAATGCTTTTAAATAGAAATGCTCTCATAACACATCACAAATAGTATATCTGAAACCTCTTGGTCTTTGGAAAAAGGTTCTCTACTCATGAAAGTTATTTGTATTTGTGTTGTGTATTTTAAGTATGAATTATCTAGCATATCCCAACAGATAAGTCAAATATAAACTGAATAATAAACTAGACTTCTAATTCCATTAGAATATTGCTCACCGAAAATTTGGGAAATAAAGACTACCATTACTGATCAAATCTGGACACATTTTGCTCATTCTTCTTTGGAACAGTGTTAGTTAAAATAGTTTCGTCTACAAACTGTAAATGTCATAGTTAGAATATTAGAGAGGTTTAATGTAGAAAGTAAGTATAAGATTCATGTTGCTTTAGAGTACCTTTAGCAATTCAAAGCTTAACCAGAAGAACCTTCAATTTAATAATGAATACCATGAACACAGAAGAGGAAGATAGAGTATACCACATTTCGATATTTTCATCACTCAGGAGGAGTTCATTAGGACAACTGACTCATGAATTTTGCTCAACAATGAACAGTAGAGGAGAGAGACCAACAGAAGAAGAAGAAGAAACTGCACGAAATACCCACTTAACTACCCAAGAATTCCAAAATGTCATTGATATTAAAGGGCAGCTCTAGAGATCAAAAAATTAAACAAATTGTAGAAAAGGTTATAGAAGAAGCAAAGAGTAGCAGGTACCATAATAATGGAGCAGAAAAGATAGTGACCAGAAGTCACAAAGGGAAAATAGTGGCTTTCTTATAATTGTCAGATATTTGAATTTTTCTCCAAAATTTAGAAGAAATGTAAGACTTACAAAGAAATCAAAAGTCAACACCAGAAAAAAATGACAGATATTTCATACTTATGTGGTGATGGCCAAGTACCAGGATCCTGTAGTACTACACCAAGGGCGTAAAGGACAAGGGTCTGCAAAACAGGAAGAAAAAAAAAAAGAAATTCAGTCTACTTAGCTATGGCCTAACAAAGATAAAATGCCCCTGCTGAAGTCAACTCATCCTATAGCCTTCTCTACTATTATGAAGATCAAATAATAGTATGCTGTTTTTGTTGAGTACCGTTGAGTTGGAACCAACCAACAGCTGACCCTCCAGCAAGTTTTCAGAGGCAGTAAATTGCATGTGAAGAGACTACCTATCTTACTCCTGTGGAGCAGCTGGTGGATTGGAACTACATGCGTTTGGGATGTAGCTTCTTACCACCAGGACACCAGAGCTCCCTAAATAATGGTATAAACAATAGGGGAGAAAAACTGCCCATTATTTTGATGATCTTACTGTAGGAAAAGTCAATAAAATAGAGAAATCCTTAAAACATATACTAAATTGAAAATTTAAAACTTGCATCAAGTAAGACAAAAAGCATCATATAAGCAAGAGTGAAAAGAGTAGACAGAAAAATCCTATTTACCACATAAATAATGTAGTTAATACTCCTAACATACAAAAAGGCACGTGCAAGAAAAAACCACCAAAAGGCATGTGTCTTACTAGTGAAAACTGTAATTAGATAACTCAAGTGAATAAATTTAAAAATTAGTTTTATAAATATATAAATAAAATGCTGGCATATATGTATATGTATAATCATGTATAGTTCTTTTGTCATCAAGTTGGAACTGACTCATCACTGATACTCTAGTGAGTTTTCAAAGTCAGCAAACTACACAGGAGGAGACAATCTATCCTTCTCCTATAGACCAGCTGGTGAATTTGGACCATGTGCCTTTGGGATTGCAACACAGAATCTTAACACTATAGCAACCAAAGACACACACACACACACACACAGGAGCTCTGGAGGCCTAGTGGCATTCCGGAGGGTCAGTTATGGATTGGTTCCAACTCTACGGTACACAACATACATTTATAATGTTGCTCCAGCTATCCAGTGATCCCAGAAAAGCAAATTAAAACAATGACGTAAAAATTTTTTCTACAAGACATGCAAAATGTATAAAAGATTTATATATTGAGAAGGGGTAAGAACTTAGAGGCAAATCCCAAAGGCCCGCAGTTCGAATCCATCAGATGCCCCGCTGGAGAAGGAGGGGCAATCTCCTCCTGTGTCAGTCGGATCTGATTCGATAGCACACAGCAAGTAATAAAAAAAAAATAATAATTTAGAGACAAAAGGCATTCTCATATATTGTCACCAAAAGTGTAAACTGTTTTTCTGGAAAGCAAATTAATATATAAAAGCATTTTAATTAAAAAATTCAATTTCTAAGAAGCTATCTAATACCTAGATAAGCATATAAATTTTTACAGTTAAAAAAAAGAAGTAATGTCAATCTAAATGTCCATCAATGAGTCTGCTTAAATAACTTATGGCACATTCATAAAATGCAATACTATGTAATAATGACAAATAAAGATCAGTATCAATAGTTGATAGCCATGATATGCTCAATTAAAAATTAATAGGTAAGTTTTCATTTTTAGAATACATAGATATAAAAAGAAAAAAAGAGAAGCTCTGGTAGCCTAGTGGTGAGAAGCTGTGCTGCAATTCCTAAGGCTCACAGTTCAAATCCACCAGATGCTCTACTGGAGAAGGAAGAGCAATCGCCTCCTGTGCCAGTCAGATCCAATTTGACGGTACACAACAATAACAAAAACCAAAACAAAAAAAAATATGGAAGAAGTCCTGAAGAATAAAAAAAAAATCCCCCAAAATATAAACATATATGTATATGAACATACATATATACTCAAAAAAACTTTAAAAAATTGTATAAAAATGCACACTTAAGTATAAACTGTATACATTAGAATGCTAAAGAGAAAAGTGTAATTTATCTAATTTTAGCTTTACAATAGCACATATTCTTTTATAATTTTAAATTCTTATAACTCTAATTTAGCAATAGGTACAAAGTTTCCTGGGTGCTTTAAAGAATACAATTTGAAAACATACAGTAAGAGAACTGTGAAGAATAATGAAATTAGTTGCATATATCAGACGTTTCTACCTCTCTAGGGATAATGAACTGGTCAATCTTTCCTTCAATATCTTGGAGCCGGGCAGAGATTGGTGTAAGTTTGGCAATCCGGACAGTTTCACAAAGCACTTGGCGACAGAATCTGTTAAAAAAAAATTAAAATCTTTGTAGATGTATATTCTAGGAGAGGGAGTCTGAAACGTATGGACATTTTCAAACATCATTCTATAATTTCCTAATGTTCTTAACTGAAAATATTCCCACAATTTGAATTTATTTACAGTTATGTATTACACTGTTGGGGAACTCTGGTGGCCAAATGGCAGGAAGCTACACTGCAATTCCAAAGACATGCAGTTCAAATTTACCAGCTGCTCTGTGGGATAAGAATGTGAGAGAAATCCCTTGTGATTTACTGCCTTTGAAAACCATGAGAGGGTCAGCTATGGGTTGGTTCCGACTCAACAGTACATGACAATAGTGTAAAATTACCTTTTTGAAACTAATTGTTTTAACATTACAGCAAGGATAAATACTAGAGCAGATTAAAAGTGAGAGGTAGGGAGAAAAGTGCAACAATGAATTACTGGAAACCTTAAGTCTCTGTAAACTTCCATTAAAATTCATTTAAAAAAAGTTTGAGAGGTAGACAATGACTAAGGATGAAAGCAGAAGAACTAATGCCTTTGAGTTGTGGTGTTGGCAAAGAACATCGATTCTCTCATACACTTCCAAAAGAACAGATGTATCTCGAAGAAAGTGGAGACAGGGTGTTCCTTGGAGGCAAGGATGGTGGCACTTCAACTCACATTCTTTGGGCATGTTGTTAGGAAGGGGCAGTCACTGGAAAAATATAGATAGAAAGACAGAGTGTCAGCAAAAGAGAAGATCCTCTACAAAACTAGATTGACAGAAAACTGTAACAATAGGCTCAAGTATAACAGAGATGATGAGAATGGCATAGGATAAAGCAGGGTTCAGATCCGTTGCTCACAGGGTCACTGTGCGTTGGTTTGAAGGCACCTCACAATGACAACAATACCAAGGTATTGTGACTTGGTTGGTTTGGGACTGGACTGGTCCCAGATATCTGTATGTTTAGAAGCAAATTATGATTATTGCAAATGAGTTGTGGTGGAGCAATAATTAAATGCTCAGCTTCCAATTAAAATGATGGTGACTTGAACTCAGCAATTCAGTGAAAGCCTAGAGATCCGCTACCATAAAGATTCCAAAACCAAACCAAAATCACTGATAAAGAGTCAATTCACAGCAGCCTTCCACCAGGTTTCTGAGGCTACAAATCCGTACAGGAAAAGACTGACTTTTTTCTCTTGTGGAGAGGCTGGAGGATCCAAACTGTGGATTTTTGGTTAGTAGCCCAACATATATCACACTATGTCATCAGGACTCCATGCCATAAAGATTATGAAAAACCGACTTGATGGCTCCTAATAACAACAGGATATGGTAACGTGAATCCAGGGCTCCTTACCACCAGACCACCAAGGCTCCCTAGAGAACTGATTAGAAGGAATAAAATCTCAAGGTTCTTCCAGGTAAAAGGAGGGAGTAGGCAGACTGGGGCCTATCACCCTCTTCAACCAAGAAACCCAAAAACAAAGAGAGCAGAAACAGTTGTTAACTGGAATCTTGAATAAAAAAAGTAAAGACAGATAAGTACTTCAGATATTAACTGAAGTAAAAAACTGAATGAAAATATGGAACAAAAAGATTGACAAAGCACCAGAACATAAACAGTATGGCATGGCCATTTTGAATGTCAGTGTGGCTGCCTTAGGAACTGGAGACCAGCAGCTGTCTGAGGACAAGAAAGATGTGACAGACAACTTGGTTCCCTGCACGCTCCCATGGACCAAGACAGTGACCTTCTCTCACCACTCACAATCAACAAAGTAGCTAGCAGTGGTCCTCCAGTCCATCTCAGCTCTGCCAGAAGCCAGGTATTCACCATTTCGTATTTTGCACTGAAAACATGCAAACGATTCTATGCTTAAAGACCCCTTTCGGGAAACTCTGGACTGTTCCATGCTTGGTCTGCAACCTGATGGTGTATTAGGGAGGACACAGCCTCTGACTAGGGTCCTTGTTTTACACAGAGAACTCCTGGGTATACTTTGCTACCACTGTCACATTTTGAGCAATCAGCCTCTATGGAGTGTACCATCCTTGAGCATCTCACTCTACTTTAGTGATCTCTGCCTGGGTACCATCCCTGTACCCATTCCATGAGCCAGCAAGGATAGTATCTCTACTAGGCAGCCTACCAGAGGCTTCTGTGAGATCAGTAAAAACTTCATTTCAGCCAGGTGCTCAGTCCCTCAACACACCTAGACCAGAAGAGGCTCTATCCTTAGCCCGGCTTATATTTTAGGGCCTTAGTCACCTCTCAAACAAGTAGAAACTCTGACTTGGCGGAGTGCGCTAACCCAAACTTATGTTGGACTGGCAAACTGCCCGAGACCAGACAACTGGCCTCCACCCACCAAAGTACATACCCAGCCAACCTTCCAAAATCTCTCCTTTTTCTCTCTCATTTTTTATTTCCCATCACTTTTTGGATTTATGTTTCTTGTTGGATTTTTTAATCTTTGTTATTGTGGGTTTTTAGTGTTTCCATTTCTTCTGTCATCTCTTCTCCCTAGCTTTTCCCTCCTTTCCCTTGTCAAACTTTCCTCTCTCTCCCTTTTTTCCCATTTTTATTTCTATTCCCCTTCCATTTGTAGCCTCTGTTTTGTTTTCTCTCTTTCCTTTTGCTTTCCAATCTTCTTGTATTTTAAATACCTTTTGTTGCTATGTTTCTCTTTTACATTATCAGGCAAAAGACAACAATAGTACTCAGCCACACATGCACTTCCTGCAGCTGCACTCATTGGACAAGAATAAAGTCAAACTCCTGGTCCACCTGAAGGAAGACTGCAACTAACAGGAGCCCTCTTTGCCCTCATTTGTTCTATGCAAAGAGTGAACAGATACAACTGCACAAACTTACCAAATTAGTAAGTCGTGCAACATGCCTGCCCTGCTTTCAGATATATCAAAACAAAATAACACAAAGCAAGAACATTACAATGTCCCAGAGGCAACAGATAACTTCAAATCACTCAAAAAAATCAGGACAAGATGGCATAAAAAGTGATTAAAATAAAGTACTAGAAAACCTTACAGATTAATTGAGCTCTTGAAACTTCTTAAAAAGGAATTCAAAAGAATGATACTTAACTATTTTCTATGGAGTCAGAAAAACAAAAAATAATTCAACCTGATCAAATAAACAAATGGAAAATGAAAATAAATGTAGAACAGCAAACTGAAATTCAGAATATTAAGAATAAAATTTCAGAACTAGACAACACATTGTTGTTGTGATGTACCACTGAGTTGGAACACATAGGTGACCCTCCAAGGGGTTTTCAGAGGCACTTCAATCACACTGAAGGAGATTCTTTCACCTTGCAGCAACTGGTAGATTTGAAGCACATATTTTGCGATTGCAGCATAGCTTTTACCACAGGTAACTAGAGCTTCCTGGACTGACAAAAAACAGAACTAAAAAAAAAAAAGGAACATAAACGGAAATGGAGGAAAAACTTCTCAACATTAATCTGTTAGAGGAACAATTAAAAAAAAATAAAATTAAACAAGTACAAGAACTCTGTGGAATAACATCAAGAGAAATAACTCAGGTGTGACCAGAATTCTGGAATAGGAAGAGATTAATTAAAAAAAATTTCAAAATTTAGGGTAACAGAAAGATCTGATGGAAGAAAATTTTCAAACATTATTATAAAAAATTATAAATAGGTATTTAAGGAAGGAGCTGAACAAACCCAAATAGAACACACTTTCCAAAAAAATCCTAATATGTATTACAATGAAATTTTCCAAAATTAAGAACAAAGAAAGAATACTGAAAGTAGTTCAAGAAAATGAAATTAACTATGAAGGAGAATCATTATGACTAAGTCCTGATTTCTCAGCAGAAACTATGCAGAGAAGAGAATGGGCAGACATATAAAAACATCTGAAAGAAAAACTGTCAATCAAGAATTATATACCCAGCAAAACGATCCCTAAAATAAGATGGTGAAATTAGGACATTTCCAGATAAATAGACATGAAAAGAATTTGTGAAAACTAGAAGAACTGATACCTTTGAGTTGTAGTGCTGCAGAAGAGTCTTGAACATACCATGGACTACCAGGACAACAAACAGGTCTGTCTTGGAGAGGGTGAAACCAACTTTCTCCTTAGAGGTAAGGATTTTGAAGCTCCATTTCACATACTTTGGGCACATGGCAAGGAGGGACCAGTCCTTGGAGAAGGACATCATGCTTGGAAGGATGGAGGGACAGCTCAGGAAAGGAAGCTGATGAGATGGTTTGACATGGTAACTGGGGCAACAGGGTTAGATTTGTCAGAGTCAGAGTCATAGATGACTAATAGCGACCCTATGAACTAAAGACCTGAACACTTGTATAATTAACTTTTATTGTTTCTCCAGGTTCATAGGGTTTCCGGTGGCAAGCTATTTTGGAAGTGGATGCCACTCCTGCTTCCAAACTTGTTTTAACTGGGGAGCTCCACCAAACAAGTAGTAGAGATCTAAATAGTCCACATCATTGATTCTATTTTATATAGGCTCAAAACATATAGGTTTCCCAGATATAATTGTTGTTATGCACTATGGAGTCAGAACTAACTCATAGCTCACCTTCCAGCAGGTTTTCAGAGGCTATTCATCAGACAGGAGTTGAGTGCTCATCTTTTTCCAACTAGTGAATCTGAAATGCCTGCCTTTAAGGTGGAAGTATTACTCCTTATACAAGGCTCCCTCCTCAATATTAGTATTAGCTTAAAATAATATTAATAAAAGAGTTATGCCAGTCTAAAAGTATCTTTTTACTAATCTTTTCTTTCTTTTATTGTGCTCTTACCTTAGCTGCTCAATTTTTTCTGGAGTAACTGGATTCTTCCCCAAAACTTGGTCTATCTCGTCATATAATTTTTTCTGAATTTCCTCAGTGGTGGATAAAAAATAGATTGTCCAGGTGCATACTAGGTGAAAAATTATATCAATTAAAAAAATAGCTAATACTGGTTTCAAAATAGAGTAAGAAAAGTTTTTACTAATACTAAATTCCAGGTATCTGTACTTTTAACAAATATCACACTATTTTGATGAACGTGAAAATTGAAAAGCCAATGTTTTATGACTTGTCTTTGGTTAAACTAGTTTATAATTTATATTCACTAAGGAAACGAAAATAAAAGTAATCAAATTACATGATGAACATAAATTAGAAGAAAAAGAGTAATAATATTTCCTTCAGGAATATTCTGTAATTGTATCTATTCAGGAATAGAACCATCTAGATATATACCTCTTTCCCTAGATTCTGCTTGAGCTGCCACTATCTAAAGCTCTTCTTATTTTACTACAGGTTAGACACATTATTTTTAATCTTATTTTTCCTAAGCTAAGGGACAATTTTAATTTGTCTCAATTATTATGGGCTTTCTAAAAAAGTTTGCTTGACTAAACTGTAATTCAATTTCTATACCAAAAACACTTTTATACTAAATATTATGATCAATAACACCAGTAAGTACCTGGTGTTACTTATTTTGAATATACCTAATTCAGACCTTATATGATTGCCTGTCCTTAACTTTACAAATTTGCATCTGCTTCTTTCAATATGCTTTTTTGAGAAACACTGAATTTCAGTTTCACAAATTATCTGCAAGTGTTGGTATAGAGTGTACAATATGTATAGGAAGTACAAACTTTAATTACACCATCTATAAATGTACTATCTATAAATAGATAAAGCATCTACTGAATATACTCTATATAATCAATACACATATACCCTGTTGACTACATATACAAGAGTTTAGGGTTAATAATCCCTAACAATGGTTCTTTTATACAACTATCTTAAAAGTATTCTGAAGAGCTTAAAAATATGTTTTCTTTTGGTTTTTATTGAGTACAATAATAAGACATTCTCATAGCTAAAAGACACTTCAAAAAAACATCTAGAGATACATCTTCCTTGAAAAATAAGCAAAAAAATTAAGTTATAGATTAAGGCCTTAAATTTTCTGCCTATCTTGCCTTTCTAAAATTTTGGAGATGCCTTCAAAAATAAATCTAACCCAAATGGAAACAAACAGTAACATACTAACAATTGCAGTTGCGATTAAAGTATTAACCTTGAAAATGGCCCTTTCTGGTGGTGTATGCATAAAACAATTCAAATTTTTAAAAGAACTTAGCAAAGACTTATTTTGAATGCAGTGAATTTTTAAAGGTTAATACACCATTTCTGACACCTGCTTAAATTCTACTTCATAAATAATATCTAACACTTTAGATATTAAACATTTTGTTGTTGTTATGTGCCATCAAGCTCTGAAGCTTGTCCTGTCCTGAGCCAGCCTTATTGCCCTAGTCACTGTATCAGTTCATCTCATCTGGTGTTTTCCTTTCTTGCGCTGTCCCTCCACCCTTCCAAGCATGATGTCCTTCACCAAGGATTGGTCTCTCCTGGCCACAATCTCAAAGTATGTGTGACAGAGCTTCAAAATCCTAGCATCCGAGGAGAAACTTGGTTTCACCCTCACCAAGGCAGATTTATTTCTTTTATTGGCGGTCCCTGGTATGTTCAAGACTCTTCTCCAGCACCACATTTCAAAGGCATCAATTCTTTTTCTATCATTCTTAGTCATTATCCAGCTCTCTGATGCATAGCGAAGACTGTGGACTGGATCTAGTCTCTAGATGGACACCTTAGTCTTTAGACTGACATCATTACTTCTCAGTACTCTGGAAAGGTCCCTGACAGCAGATTTACCTAATGGAATTTGTCTTTTGATTTCCTGACTGCTGCTGCCAAGACTGTTGATTGTGGAACCAAGCAAGCAAGCTGTAATTGTTAACAACCTCACTCTCTTCTCCATCCATCATGATGCTGCCAATTGGCCCAGTGGTGATAATCTTTTGTCTTCTTGATGTTGAACTTCAGTCCATATTGAAGACTACAGTCCTTGACCTTCTGCAGCAAGTGTTTCAGGTCGGCTTCTGTTTCAGCAAACAAGGTTGTGTCATCTGCATAACGCAGTTTGTTGATGAGTCTTCCTCCTATCCTGATGCCACATTTCTCTTCATAAAGCCCAGCCTCCCAAATGATCTGTTCTGCATAAAGATAGAAAAGATATGGAGACAGGATGCATCCCTGACACACTCCTTTTCTATTGTGAACCATGCAGTGTTTCCCTGCTCTGTTCTGAAGACTGCTTCCTTATCCAAGTATAGGTTTCGCATAAGCACAATCAAGTGTTCTGGGATTCCCATTCTTCTCAAGGTTAACCACAATTTGTTGTGATCAACAGTCAAATGCCTTTGCATAGTCAATGAAACACAGCTAGATAGCTCTCTGGTACTCTGCTTTCTTCTAAGATCCATTTGACATTGGCAATAATGTTTCTAGCGCCACAGCCTCTTCTAAAGCCAGCTTGTATTTCTGGCAATTCTCTGTCAATGTACTGTTTCAGTTGTTTTTGGATAATCTTCAGCAGAATTTTGCTTGCATGTGATATTGTATGATAACTTCCACTCTCTGTCGGGTCACCTTTTTAGCAATGGGAATAAATATGGATCTCTTCCAGGTAGCTGTCCTCCAGATTTCCTGACACAACCTGGTGAGCACGTCCAGGGCTGCATCTGTTTGTTGAAATATGTCAACTGGTATTTCATCAATTCCTGGGGCTTTATTTTTTGCCAAGTCCTTCAGAGCAGCCTGAACCTCCTCCTTCATCACCATCAATTGCCTCTTGATCATATGTTAGTTCTTTAAATTCTTCTGTGCAGAAAAATTTATGAGACATTTTCTTATGGATCCACGTTTTTATTTTCCTCTCTAAACAGAAAGACTTGGGAAAGAAATCCCACTGGTGATGTTGTTATGTGCTGTCCAGTCAGAAATGACTTATAGCTGACCCTCAAGAGGATTTTCAGAAGCTACACATTGTATCAGAAGAGACTGACCATCTTTCTCTCATGGAACATTTAATAGATTCGAACTACCAGCCTTTGGGTTTGTAGGCAATTCTTTACTCTCCACGCCACCAGAGCTTCTTTGAAATCCCACTAGTGAATATAAAGTGTATAAACTTTAAACTGATATTATAATCCTTCCTTCAAATATTTTATTTTAACATATTTTTATTTCTTTATACAAATTTTTACATATACTAAAGCTCTAGAGTGCCAATCATTTAGTGGTAAGGAAGGGTACTACGAATGCAGAGGTATGCAGTTCAAATCTGCCAGCTGCTCTAAAGGAAAAAGATGAGCAACCACCTCCCATTCAATCTGTTGCCTCTGCAAACCCACTGGAGGGTCAGCTATGGGTTAGTTCCAACTTGATGGTCCAAAACAACAGCAAAAACCTGTGTGGAAAATTAGAAATACAAAATTCAGAAATTTTAATAAAAATCACCTTCAGTTCCACCAACAGAAGAGTTCTTTTAAATTGTGTTTCTGTGGCATATTTTCTATTATTGTTTTTGTTGTTGTGGGGTGTCACTGAGTCGAGCACAGCTTATAGCGACTCTATGAATGACAGACCTGAACCCTGTCCTATCCTGTGCCATCTTCATCATCTCTGACACACTTGAGCCTGCTGTTGCTGTCACTGTGTCATTCCATCTCTCACTAGGGATCTTCCTCCCTTTCACTGCCCCTCTCTCTTGGAAGACCTTAATAATAGCAAATGGAATTTGAGCTCAAGTGAAAAGCAGCAGCCGGAAATTGAAAAGCTCACTGCTCCAGTTGGAAAGGTGTCAGTGACAGTTCATTTTAAAGGCACTAACTGGAATTCGCAATCCACAAAATAGTGTCAAGAAATTTATGGTAATGTTCAGAGGTGGCATAGGAAACTTGGAGTAAAAAAAGATACTTGTATGAATTAAGTCTTTAAAAGAAGAATAAAAATGTAGAGAAAAGGGAATTCTTTAACCAAGATCCTGTAAATAGTGCTTCCTTCATTTTAGAATAGCTTTACCTTTGCACATTTTGGAATTCATTTAAAAAAGAAATCAATTTGTACTTACACTGTGCAGTTATTATACAACCAGCCAGAGAAAATATCATACTGTCTTCTAGGATCTAGAAAATAAAACTAAATTTAGAAAGTGTAAAATGTAAAGTGGCCTATATTCGACTCTACTAAAAAACCTACAGTAGAAAATAAAAGTCAAGGAAAGAAAAAAGTAAATTATATCTTAAAGGTGTTTTCATTGTAAAAAAATGTGTATGTGAAACTCAACATAAACACTGCATTCATTGCTTTTTGATGCACTAGATACTTGGAGTCATGTTAACTGGCTCATGAGTCCTTTATTTGCCTTGGTCTGATCCTGCAACAAAGCCTCAGGAATAGTAGAGAAGATGCTACCACTCCCCATGGAGCCTAATTCCACTTCTGAGTGCAGACACATAACTATAAGGTGACTTGTATGTGTAGAGTAGGCCAAAGGATTTATCCAACTGCAACAAAAATGACTTCACTTCTACCTGTGGACTGGTAATACCGCAAACTCACGGGTGTGCAGGGACTGAGGTAACAGTGAACAAGACAAGCTCCCATCCATGGCCATGTAGGCAGAATGGCTATGTGCTTAAGAACTTATTAAAATTCTTTTCTCTTTATGATCAGAGAATGCGATTTAATGTTTGTTTATTCAAATGTTAAACTGAGCCACTCCAGAGAACTAAAAACACACTAACTACTTATAGTCACCACTGGGCCAACTGGCAGCGTCATCATGGATGGTGAAGAGATTGAGATTGTTCACAGCTTTAGTTTGCTTGGCTCCACAGTCAACACTCTCAGCACCAGCAGCCAGGAAATTAGAAGACGTATTGCCATGGGAAAGTCTACTGTTAGGGACCTCTCCAGGGTACTGAAGAGCAATGGTGTCTCTCTGAAGACTAAGATACCTTTGATACAGGCCATGGTCTTTGCTATCAGTTGTTATGCATCAGAGAGTTGGGCAATGACTAAGGAGGATAGAAGGAGAATTGATGCCATTGAGTTTTGGTGCTGGAGAAGAGTATTGAGGGTACCATGGACTGCTAAGAAAACAAACAGATTTATCCTGGAAAGGGTCAAACCGGGTTGCTCCTTGGAGGCAAGGATTCTAAGGCTCCATCTAACATGCTTTGGACATGTTACAAGGAGGGACAGGTCCTTGGAGAAGGACATCATGCTTGGTAGGGTGGAGGGACAGCACAGAAGGGGAAGGCCCCCTATGAGGTGGATTGATTTAGTGATTGGGGTAATCGGGATGGGTGTATCAGAGATGGTGCGACTGGCACAGGACAGAGCTGAATATAGGGATGCTGTACATAGGGTTGCTATGAGTCACAAGCGACTCACGGCACATAACAACAATAACAATCAACTTCTTATACCACCATGATATAAAATGAAAGAGAATAAAATCATTGAATTTTAAGAGAGCATCTAGATTAAAGTTTAATTAGTGTTTATTTGCTAAACATTTAGCAACTGCATTACCTGCTGTTCACTTAGGTTCCCCTGTACTAAGGAGTCAATGAAAATATGCTGACTTTCCTTTCTTCCTTTTCGCTCTTTTATGATTTTCTTTAAAATGGATTCCAGCTGCTTAAGGGCTTAGGTAAAATGAAAAAAAGAATAGAATATAAGCATTTATAAAGGATGAACTTCTTTTTAATAATATTGTACAATTTTAAAACTTACAAAATAAAAGTCATTATAATAAAGCTAAATTATGTTTAAGGCTGTCAAGGATTTTGTTTTCAATCCATAATCAACACTTAGAGAAGCAGCAATAAGAGAGCTCTGATGGCCTAGTGACAAGAAGCTGCACTGCAATCCCAGAGGTACGTGGTTCAAATCCACCAGATGCTCTGCTGGAGAAGGAGGAGCAATCTTCTCCTGTACCAATCAGATCTGATTTGGCAGTACACACACACAAAATAATAAAAATAAAAATTAAAAAAAAAGCAGCAATAAAAAAAATCAAATGACATACTGTGTTGGGAAAATCTGTTGTCCTAGATCTCTTGAAAGTGCAGAAGAGCAGGGATGTCAGTTTAAAGAATAAGGTGCACTTGACCCAACCATGATGCTTTCAATTGCTGCTTATGTTTGCAAAAATCAGACAATGAATAAGAAAATTAAAGAAGAAATGATGCCTTGAATTGCAGTGTTGGGCAATAGTACTACAAACTTTGGACTGTCAAAAAAACAAACAAATCTGTATTGGAAGAAATGCAGCCAGAGTGCTTCTTAGAACCAAAATCTGTGAGATATTGTCTCAAAAACATTAGATGGAAAGAAAATCTATGATCCAGCAATTCCTACATATATTATCAAAGAACAGGAAAAATTCACATCTACACAGAAAACTAGAAATGAATGCTTGTAGCAGCATTACTCATTATAGCCAATGGTTGGAAATGATTTAAATGTCTAGCAGCAGGCAAATAGATAAATAAAATGTTATATATTCATGCAACAGAAGGTGACTCAGTCATGAAAAGGAATGAAGTACATGGATAAATTTGCTTATCATTTCCTTCAACTTGAGCAATGCTAAGCGAGTTCTTCCCTTTTTATTCTCCAATTCTAGGTCTCTGCACAGTCTGTTATAGGACACAGCAGATATCTCTATTATCTGCACTGATGCTTGCCACCTTGTCTATGCCACATTCTCCCACTAGCTTGGTTCATTTAACAGTCTTTAGCTACCTTTTCTATTTCTGTTATTGGCCTTTACTAGTTTGCCATGGCAATCAAAAGGTTCCTTTCTAAAGTTTAATTCAGATAATATCATACAGGAGGGACGGGTCCTTGGAGAGGGACATCATGCTTGGGAGGGTGGAGGGACAGCGCAGGAGGGGAAGACCCTCTATGAGATGGATTGATTCGGTGACTGGGGTAATCGGGATGGGTGTGTCAGAGGCGGTGCGGTTGGCGCAGGATAGAGCAGGGTTTAGAGCTGTTGTGCATAGGGTCGCTATGAGTCGGAAACGACTCGATGGCACATAACAACAACAACAACAACAACATCATACCTCTCTTCAAAACTTCCCAGTGTCTGTCTCATGGTAAGTGCCTAGTCATACAATGGTTGGTAAGCCTTACAAAATCTGTTCTTCTTCCAATCCCCCTGACCTGATCTCTTTTTATTTATCTTTTGATTCATTTCACTCCAAACACACAGACATCTTTTTATTTCTCAAATACAGTAAAAACAATTCCATCTCAAAAATGCAATTACTTTTCTTCTATGTAGACTAGTCTTCCCTTTAACATTTGAAAACAACATTGCAAAAGGAACAGATGCAATGGGAGGGTGGCCGAATCTGACTTATACCCACTTCATAAAGGGGAAATGTACCCATCAATAAAGTCCATGGCACTACAAAAATAGCTACATATACCTATTTTGGTCTTATATTCACTTCAATACTAATAGACTTTACTCAGTTACTCAGGGTTATTAGGAAAACAGGTTGGACAGTGGAGGAGGCAAAGAATATCTCACAATGTAAGTACAGGTTTAGTTCACCAGATTAATAAAGCACAATTCCTCAATTAATTAAAGTCCAGGCTCAGCTCAACAGCACAAATCCAAGAAGCCTCTGGTTTTCTCAATCATCCAGCAAACTTTATCTCAGAGCAGCTAAAAGTTAGCTTTTCCTTTAATCATCTAATTAAACAGTGGCTACCTTTCCAAGATTCGTCTGGTTACACCTTGCTACAGTCTCTTCACAGTAGTGCCACAGTCTCTTACAAAGTAGAAAGCACTATCTTATATTGGTCCCACAACAGTTGATGATCACCACGTGTCCACAGTTGAAGTAGCTGGAGACTATGCTTCCCCATTGCTAATGCAATGGCTAGAAAAGCCAACTTTCAAAGATTCTGACACCTTACACATAATCTGCACAACTGATTTCTTTACTTCTTTTAAGTATCTGCTCAAAAATTAGACCTTCATTTTCTATGCATAGATTAATATTTATTGAAAATGAAGATAAAACTATACAAACACTATTATATATTAAAATAATCTATTATCTCAATGCAATATATTAATTTTAAATTTAACCTGTTTACTTTAAAAGAAGGGGCATTTTAAAGAAGATCATTTTGGAGGGCTATCTTAAATGAAAACTACATTTTTCTGTGTAAAATTTTAAAAAGTTATCAAGGTCAAACAATTTTGGAGATTGTTGTCCATTCCATGTTAAAATATAGCAATGTTTTATGTTCATATGATTTTTCATGGATCTCTATTTTAAATCATGGCAAACATTGCTTATTTTTCATTACATTCCTATAGTATTAGACATTTTGATTGTCTGGCTTTTCAAGCATAGATAGAATATTTAAAACTCTATTTTTATGAAAGTTTTCACCTTTTAGGTGATTTCTTTCATTATTATGGCTCTTAAAATGTATTGTCAGATTGTGTTTTTTTTTTGACTGAAACTTTACATTTTTCATAAACACTAATAGTATCATTCTGTAGTAAGTACTAGAGTTTGTTTTACTAACTTACTGAATTATCCTTTCTTTATTTTAAAAAATAAAAATAAAGAGAAGCTCCAATTTATTTTATAAAACAAAGAGAAAAAAACCGTAGAAATCATAAATCATTTCTAATCCACCATTCAGAGATTTTTCTGTTAAACCGGGGTATATACATTTTTGTCCTTAGTAAAAGTTAAGGAGTGGCCAAATTTACCATCTTCATATTGTTTTTTCCGAGTTGTACTTTTATCAAGCGACCCATCTAGAAAGCCTTTTCCAATCTCAGACCAAACCTGAAAATAAGAAAACATTTTTTATGTAAAGTTTATAAATAATGAGTAATCCAAACTAAAAACCCAGCAATTTCTTTCTCACCAATAGATCTACTAATTTACCTATCCTTTTTGAAGGGCTACCTAAGTCTTTACACCATGATCTCTAAAGAAAGACTGTTGTTGTTGTATACAAACAAGTTGGAATCAACTCACAGCGGACTTTCCACTGGGTTTTCAGAGGCAGTAACTGCACAGGAGGAGATCACCCATCCTCCTGTGGAACAGCTAGAAGATTTGAACCGTGTGCCTTCAGGATTGCAGTACAGATTCTTACCACTACAGATATATTTTAATGATTTAGAACTGTTGTTGTTGTTGTTATGTGCCGTCGAGTCGTTTCTGACTCATAGCGACCCTATGCACAACAGCCCTAAACCCTGCTCTATCCTGCGCCAACCACACTGCCTCTGACACACCC